TCTACACGTAGCAGGTTAACAAGTTGATGACAGCAAGCTCGTAGGAGTCTGTTTAGTCTATTACCGCTGTCAGCCAAGTAACCTTGTGATAACAACTTGTTCCAGACTTGTCACCACTACTGGGAACAAGCAGTACGAACACATTGTGATATCCTGCATCAACTTGACTTTGAATTTACAATATGATTAAATTGTTAAACACGTCCGAATTTATCAACACATTAAATTCGCGACGCATGTTGAACCCTAACCCAAATCTAACCCCGATTCTAAACTTGACGACCTTTTTTCCACCCCCGGCCCTACCTACCTCCCTCCTAAGGCCCGACGTACCTCCCTCCTAAGGCCCTATCTACCTCCCTCCTAAGGCCCGACCTACCTCCCTCCTAAGGCCCGACCTACTACCTTCCTCCTAAGTCCCGACCTACCTTCTTCCTAAGGCCCTACCTACCCCCTGCTAAGGCCCGACCTACCTTCCTCCTAAGACCCTACCTACCTCCCTCCTAAGGCCCGACTTACCTTCCTCCTAAGGCTCGACCTACCTCCCTGCTAAGGCCCGACCAAAAGGCTTGTCTAATGCTTGTGGTTTTATTTCGAGTCGCGAGTTTATTGTATTAGTAAATTCGGACGTGTTTAACAATTTACTCGTATAGTAAATTCAAAAGTCGAGCTCATATTGTGATATCGGCTTGACAACAACCATGTTACAACTTATGTACCGGTCTGTAACAACTTGCGCGTTTTTACGTGTTATTTAACTTATTGTATTTATATTTTTGTCTGTAAATAGTTCTGGCACCAGTGCATTTGGTTCCCGTGATTACCGTCAACAAGGAAGCCGTGGAGGTGGTGGTGGTTACATGCAGGGTAATCCTGGTTATGGTCAAGGTTATGGTGCTGGTTATGGTGGTGGAAGCTATGGTGGTGCGCCGTATGGTGGAGGTGGTGGCTATTATGGTGGTTATGGTGGCTATGCTCCACGTGGCAATCCTAGCAACATGGGTGGTCGTTCTAATGACTGGTGGAATTAACAAGTATTGTGTAACGTTTCATCTTTAACATTTTATTATTCAGTTATACTTGGGTTATGTTCTGTTATGTTTCAATCTTGGTAACGTACCTTTTGGAAGGGCTTCTGCGTTTAATAACTTTAAATAATAACGGCGGTGGAAATGTGAAATTTACTGTTTCTGCGGCGAATGTTTCGAAGACTAAATTTCGAATATGGCTGGCGGCTTCATGTGTCCGTCAGCTCCAATCTTTTGAAAAACCTTTTTGTGGTATGGAAGGGCAAACCAAATATGAATGTGGAATAAAGGAGAAATGGGATTCGTATTTATTTACGAGTACATAAAGATGTTGATAACATTTGAACAAGCGAGTTGCTTGGTGGCAGCCGTTCAGAAGACGATCAATCAAAGACGAAGTTCTAATTGAAGAGTATTGAAGCGAATTCAAATGTTTTAGCCAACATTGGTCGTTTCGCTCGCTCCAGACGTGTCCCGTTAGAGTTCCACTTTGTTAGTATATTATAATTTCATTCATTAAAATGTAAGCATGCGTTCATTTTTCTACTCATATTTATTCTCGAATCACTGCAAACCGATCCTTGGATCGTCGAGCCACTAGTTACGTTCGGCATATAACACGTGGAGAATATTATCATTGGGGATTTTGTAGCTACATATTTGAAATCGTTGGAAGAATAAGAGAAATACAGCAATTTATCTTCTCCAGCAAGTCGTTGTTATTAGATGTTTAGAGAAAAATAAACTAATCCAAGAGTCCATTTGGCATACGTTACAAACGAAGTACATAAGAGACATTAAAAGCCCGTTTACACTTGCAATTTTTGCTGCGATTTCCGTCTTTTAATGGATGTGAACGAGTGGATGAGTTATGAATGTTCAGACGAGGCAACATGTACTCAGAACATTCGTAATTCGTCTACTCGTTCTCATCCATCAGAAGAAGGAAATCGCACTAGAAATCGCAGCAAAAATTGCAAATATAAACGTGCCCCTAAGATTCACTGGAAACCGTTGACTGTAAACGATAATTGCAAATCGACTGTGAACATAAGTTCCACACGATTTCGACGACCTATGCTTCAATTTCAACATACATGCAAAGTGTTTTAACTTCTAACGGCTTGCTGTTAGCAGTTTGTCGTCAACGTCAATCTTAAGGTCTCGACTGCCATTATGCTTATCTCATTCAATTCGTGTGAACCAGACGTTATCCTTAAAATTTTTGTAAACTTGCAAATTCCTACGATAATGTATATTACATGGCAAATTGCGTGACATTTAAGAAGTAATGATGCATTAACATTTAGTCGGGGAAGATAAATTGCTTTTCGTAAGATGTTCCAAAAGTTACGGATATGTCAAATTCCTCATGATATTGAAGATTATTTTAGCTACACTTTAAGAATTGTACGTTTGGTCACAAATGTTTTGTTTAATATTCCACGTCAAGTATATACTACACACTTGCTTACTCGGTGGTGGTTTTAATAAATTTCCAAGTTATCTCTAGTACAAGCTAATAGTAAAATATTAGCGATATAGTTTGTAGTTATCAAACTGGAAACTCTAATAAAACTCTAATGAAAGTGTGACGATATTGTTAAGCCCCCATACTACCATTGTCGGGTATTGCAACCCATGGTAATATACAATTATTTTAATTTCATAGTATAAAAGTCTATCATAATATAAATATTCGGTTTTTAAATTATGCAAGATTCACACAAAATCATCTCGCAAATTGCGCGTAGCGAGTTGATTCGTGCAATGTGTGGAAAAGAAGTTCAAGTAACAGGCGATGTTATACGGGACAACTTGTAACAACTTACAATGCAAACGAGATTACACAGGGCTAAAAATATCGGTCAGAGACTGTCTGTCAAAATGTTCGATGACTTTGAAAATTAATATCAGCGCAATGTGGAAAAGCCATTTGAATCTTGGCAATGAGTTTCTAAAACCCACGGTGAAAACCCCGCACTTGATTATTTCTGGTTCACTTTTTAACACCTTCCTCTAATTCTCCATTTAACATACGAGCCTCTAGGCCTGGGGCCAGTTGTATCAAGCCCGTTTAGCTTAAACGGTGGATAAGTCAAAATTAAATAACACTGTTATATCTCTCGTGAATCAGTCAACTTAAATACTCTGCACTGAATATGTAGTTGTAAACAATATCGTTCTGTTAATGTTCAAAACTTCTAGTTTGGTTGTTGAATGAATCTATAGGCTTGCTTTCTATTTTGAGCTTAACCACCGTTTAAGCTAAACGGGCTTGATACAACCGGCCCCTGGACTATAGGATTCATTCTGATTTACTTTGGACAAAGTTACAGCTAGGCCGGACACCAATTCACCTCAGTTTCACTTATAAGTCGGATAGAATATCCAGTTGTTTCCGCTCTACGTCGGACAATTTCACGAATGGGTTGGACAATGTCCGTGAGCGACCGATATTATAAGACCTGGTGTTAAAAGTTGTCCTGGGTAACATCACTTCAATGGAACGGCTGCATTACTCTGCATCCAGTTTATATATATATAGAACCTGTATAGAACTATAAATACTCTCAGAGTTTTGTACAGATAGGTAGAAATATTCCAAGGTAATTTAATGTTGTAGGTTATAAATATAAATTGCATCGAGTAAGCTCATTTGTAATGAGGCTCGAAATATTTATTATCAGTGAACGCTATATATGTATAGAGTCGTGCGCTGTTCTTTTTTAAAAAAAATAAAAGAAGGGAATTTAAACTAATTCTCTTCTATTTTATAAACGTGACTATCACCAAACTAGGTTCGATTTATCTTGCATGCGAAGACACCAGTTGGAACTGTTGATTGGGCATCCAAATTGTGCATTCTGCACAGCCATTGGTTAGACAATTAGGTTTAGGGGGTTATTGATGATTTCATTTTCAACAGTTTTGCTATTATATCTGTCGAACGCTGTGTAGTTAACAACAATGAAAAAATGTTAGCTATCATCTCGTCTTCATATATCACGACTATCAACAACGTTACCCAATGGACGTTGCTTGTTTGGATGCACAATCAACATTTCAAACTGACTTATTGTTGGACAGATTTTCTTGCCACAGATGTACAAGTCTTTGCATGAGTCACATGCTATATATAGAATGACTATACGGTCAAATTAACTTCCATACTCCATGGCAAAAGGAATCATTTCTAATTCGTATCTAATTTTAAAGTTTAGTTGCGAAGGCGTTTACCAAATATAGTGCGTCGTCACTTAATAGTGTTGTTACATGCTCGTGTGCCGCAAAAGTAAGGATTACGATTGAATTTTGATCCTATCATTGAATTAGGTGAAAATTAACTGCAAAGACTTGCTGTACAAGAAAATCTGTCGTTATCGAGTATTTCTGAAAAATGATAGAGTCAAACATTAAGTTTTGTTTATTGTACTGTAGTTTAACTAGGTTTACGAATATATAAAGCAAGAAGTCCTTTAGTTATCAAGAACATTTAAAAATGTCATTGTTAGAGCAGTTAATAAAATAAAGTTTATAGTTTCATTAGTTTTAGTTTTATCATTTTTTTGTTTGATGTACAGAGGTTTAAAAATCAGTAAAAATCCACTATTGAGAAACAGCAAAAATCATAATTTTAGCCCTTAACTTGACCCACCTGGAACTTTGCCAAAATGCAATTAGGCTGAAAACAAAATGCATTTTGAAACGACCCTTATAAAGGCAATCTCAAGTACAAAGTTTGAGAGAAATCTATTTTTTGATCCAAAGAGGTCATGAGGTTCTTACAGAGACTGCTTCTTAAGCCTGGTTCAAACTAGCAATTCTGTCGGCGACTTTTCTCCTCCTGGAAGATGTGATCAAATGAATGACATGCAAAAAGACTTAGAATTGTTTACTTCTGAAAAGCGACTCTATACTTTTGTGTGCGAGTTCACTCATTTGTATCCGTCAGAAACACAAAATCTCCGACAAAATTGCTAGTGTGAACCAGGCTTTAAAAGTCTTGAAATGAGGTACATGTTTCTGAAAGGTGTTTATTCGGTAACCTGAAACTACCAGTTTGAGCAAGGAAAACAATTAGCCTTTCTCACGAGTCACGCCGCCATTTTTGGGTTGGCTTTTCAGCCGAACTCTGCGAGTTAAGTCCACATAACAACGACTTTTTATAATTTTTTGGACGAATGATGGTAAATTTGCTTTGTAAATGAGAATTAGATGCCACCCAAACGAGAATTATTGTGATTTCAATAACGTGTTTTATTATTAGCATGACAAAATTACTGGATGCTGATTGGTTGAGAGGAGTACAATTGTTTCATTAATTGTACTGCAGTACAACAACTCGTCTTCATATATCACGACTGAAATGATCAACAACGTTACCCAATGGACGTTGCTTGTTTGGATGCACAGTCAACATTTCAAACTGACTTATTGTTGGACAGATTTTCTTGCCACAGATGTACAAGTCTTTGCATGAGTCACATGCTATATATAGAATGACTATACGGTGGCATCTAATTCTCACAACTCAGAAGATGGGTCATTTTTAGTGCAATGTTTCCATGGAAACGTTGCACTATTGTGATGAGTGGCGAAATTCAAGCGAGAGATACATAGAGTAAACTTTCCGGGGGGGGAGTTACAAATGTTATCTCAATGCCATATCTAAAAAAACTTCAAGGTTGGAGAATTTTTAAGTTAAAACGATATTTATAGCAACAGTAAAATTTCATAAATTTGATTTAGCTTGACGATCAATATTTAAACGTCTACATTACAGCAATGTTAAAAGTTTACTGAGATAACAAATATGGGGATTCGTGCCATTAGCACCCCCGTATCTTCAAATTTTCGTGAGAACTGCAAGTCAGCAAAATCAGCACCCATAAATAAATATGACGACGCGTATGAGTGCTGGTCGAAATTTTAGAACAGGCCTTGGGCAAACGATTTAACATGGGTATGTATTATTTCTATGCAATTTTAGACTCTATTTCGGGGCTTCAACTCGCTGCATTTCATACGAGGCCCGAGTTTTTGCATTTCTATTTATGATTTTCTTATATTTCAATTTAAATCTCGTAGCTCAATTTATGTCACGAAATTTAGTTGTACAACTATATTTTATTCTTTCTATGACTGTAGCCAGTATAGGCAGACACGTTATTTTAGAAATAACATGAAATATAATATCCCCGTGCAGTAACATGCAATATCATGTCTATATATAAATGTTCGTCTACAGCTCTGGTTCCACATTTATAGCACGCTCGTTTATATTAAATCTATAATTTCAACCCTAATCTATCTTTATATGAAACTTAATCTGCAATAAAAGCATAGTCCTATAAAAAACAGCATTTTTCTGATATAAAAATATAACTTGCGTGCTGTATAGTCTCATAGTATATACAGTCTGTGAACAGACGGTATACCATCAATAGGTGTCGCAGAATTTGACAGAATTTTTTGTAATATTTTAATTATTCATTTATTCAAGGCCCGCATATTGTAGCCTGTGCCATAGAATAAAGATCCATATAGAAGGGCCACTCAGGGGTGCAACGTGTCCTCGTTTTTTTATGCAAAAATATGCAGTTTACTGGCCAGAAGGCGGAGCAGCCAGCCAGTACAGCGTGTTTATTGGCCAGAAAATGTCATTGACTGGCTAGGAAAATGGCGGCCAACATGCGTAATGCGACATGCGCGAGGACAGAAACTTCAAAGCTTCCGACGTAAGTGGCCCTTCTATTTGGATCTTTATTCTATGCCTGTGCACATGCAGACAGCCGCAATGAGTTTTATTGATATGGATAGTTATGTATAACTTGCATGAATGTATGAGAGATACTAAGATATTCGGTTTTTGTGCCGTAATTGAAGTAAAAAGATAATAACAAACGCGAAGTTTGCTGTTGGCATAATACTAATCGAGATATACTAGCTTTTAATAACAAAGCCTTTGTTTCAATAAATTTAATTGAATTCAAGATTAAAATTTATTATGTCTTAGGTACAGTTCGTAGGTCATCGTGTTACATTTATTTCAATACAATGTCAATGTCAATGACAATGTTTACGTTTATAAAAAGTTGCCAAGTTGGCAAATTTACTGTTTTGGCAATTAATGTGTGATGTGGCCGAAATTATCGGCCTAATCTTATCGTAAGTATAATTTTGTCTGCGTTCTGTATATTAAATAAATTGAGATACTACAAAATAATATACAGGGATATCGACAAAACTAATTTTTTGATACTGTGTTACGTATATAAGCAATTGAGACATCCATGTACAACATTAAAAATGTAGCTTCCGGCAGCTACTGTTAGCTACGTCACAAACGTAAACAAACGCTCGGAAATTTTTGCGACTTGTGGTATGGTTGGACGAAAATGGCTGTACAGTAAGTTCAAAAGTTCCTCTAAAAGTTCAAAATTTCGTCTACTTCAAGCTTACCGGTAATTTACAACAAAATTAATTTGCAACAGTTTTGCATTCGCGAACCGCATCATTTGGACAAATGAATTGCAAAACTATGAACAATATGTTTGAAAGATTTGATATTACCGTAATGACTTTTCAAGTTTTCAGAAACATTGCACTATCCTTGGATCCCTAGTTACGTACTATTAATCCCTAATTGTACTCGCCATCGCATGATTACCTATACTAATTTTTAACAAAATATCAAATATAAAGCCTGTTCTAAACGTCTCATTTTACACGCGCCGAATGCATTCAAAACAGTGGATAATAAGGCATTTCAGCTGATTATCTATTGTTCTGAATCATATAAAATGCGACGTTTAGAACAGGCCTTATACATGGATAGAAATACGATTCCCAACATTGCATGAAAGGTTGCCATTAGTAATCATTGTTGCATGATTATGTAGTTACTGCAGACACTGGAACCAATATAGACATAGCTACTTCATTTGTGGACATGTTGGGTGACTTGCCATGGTACCTGGATGGGCAGTACCGAAAGATTGAAAATGAGTTGCCTTTATATCTAGAGTTTCCCAAGGACTTTGGGAAGAGATTCTCTGGATTCAACCAGCCAGAGCTAACAAAATATCGCAAGAGAAAGCTAGAAAATGTCTCAGAGCAGAAGCTCTCAAAGTTGTCAATTGATGTTCGGGAAGTTATTCCGGCATTGCCCTGCATGGATCGGATGCCTTGAGCACCGATAAAAATTGAGTTTCATCAGATATTGGAGGTTGTTGAGGCTTTTGTATTGAAGTGGAAGGTGAAGAGCAAAAGGGTTCTGTTGTCCCAGTGACAGTAACGAGCATTGAATGTCGACTTGACAAGGAAACCAAGGTGAAGGAGTTGCGGGTGGAAAAGGTGGGGAGCATTAGTGTCTGATGCTTGTGAGCTTGGATAATCAAGTGAAACAATCAGATAACTATCAACCCATCCAATTGAGGCAGTTCCTTAAACCTGGTTTGGATAGGAAATGCATCTATGATATAGAACTATTGAGGACAGATGGACTTTCAGTCAAGTGTGTTCTGTACACACACCAGAGGGTCGTGAAGGGGGGGGGGGCATTCCCATTTCCCACCTGAAATCTTGTGCCGAAGGCACGGAAAATTTTTAAATTTGAATCCCGGAAATGGCATTTGCAGCATTCTGAGACACGCATAATCAGAAAACCCAGAATTCCGGGCGCCAGAGTATGCCTGTTCGCAGGTAGTGCTGTGAAAATATAGTTAACAACAAAAATCATGACCAAAGACACCAAAAACGGATCAAAATTGTATTTTAAAATACTTAAAACATAGAAAAATTGGGAATCGACTCGCATTATCTCAGTCCCATTCCCATTTTTGAGGGCTTCATTTCCCATTCCCAGTGGCCAAATCCCAGTCCCAGCAACCCAAATCCCATTTTCCCAGTCTAAAAATAGATCAATCCCAGTTCCCATTTTACCCCTTCAGGACCCTCGCACCACACTAGTGGTAACAAGCTACAATCAGTTTCAAAAGTCTTGGGACAGATGCCACAAGAACTTTGAATATCAACAAACTACAATCCCACCCGCCCCCTGTTCAATGTTGTGTCCCATTTCTCGTCGGGTTTGATGTGTTTTGGTTTAAACAACATTGATTGGGGTGGAAGGAGGTGGAGGGCAACGGTACTATGTGTAAAAAACTATAATGATCCACTTACAAGCCAAAACTACATGTGTCCCAACAACTTCTGAAAGTGATTGTCTGGGCCCCATATGCCGTAACAACATTGTACATCTCAAAAGTACAGGGAATAGAATGCTCTGCGAACGAAGTATTTCAGCTCCATTTCGTTCACAGAACATCTAATGACATTATAGAACAATTAAGTTTCATTAAAATTCTCAAAGTTAATAATTAACAGAATATGAATATAATTTGTTATATCATAATGCATTCTTAATCACAAAGGATTTATACGTTGTTTGCTTCTACAAATTTTGGCAGAGCACTAGTAGGTTATTTGAGAGGTTATAGTCCGTCAATAAAGATAGGTATCGCAAATGTTTTACGCTAGATATGTGTGATAAATATCGAACTCTACGCAAAAACAAACTAAAATATAGCGGAAAATCTCAGGGTTTACTCGTATATAAAACTCGTATAAAAAATATAAACTACATAACTACATCACAAAAAACATGTGTTTGCGCAACTTGTTCTCAGGGCAGCCTGAGTTCTACCTTCAACTTAAGGTGTCTTTCACACGTTTTTAACAGTCTTCATAACAGTCCCGGGGTTGGTCACCCACGGTGAACAAACAACTAAAAATAAACAAGTTCATTAAGTAAGATATAACTAGTGTTTCTGGGTTTTTTCTTCAGACTTATCTTAGTCCAACTTGCTTCGAACTTCCAAAGGCATGAGGTGTTGAATCGGTCTTCGCAATAGAATTGGTTTCTTCTTATCGTTGCCCAAAACCTTCACCATCACTGAACGAACTATTTTGTCCTTACTCGGAATTAATGTTTCAATCTTAGCTAACCTCCAAAAGGTTCGTGGTTGGTTTCCATCCTTGAGAATAACAACGTCACCGACTTCTATAGACTCCTTTCTGTTAGTTTCTGAACGTGAAGCTTCGCGAATGCTAACTAGGTACTCTTTCTTCCATTGATCCGTAAAATTCTTCAAAATGCGATTCTGATACTTCGCGCGTTTGGTCAATGTTTTATTCGTACATGCAATCTCGAAATGACTGTCACTTGGCGTTGTTGTAATTCTCCGTCCATATATCAGACACGAAGGGGTGAGGGGATAAGAAACACCCTCCTGCTCATCATATATATAAGTCAACGGCCTGCTGTTTAGAGTGCTTTCAATCTCGACTATAACTGTTCGAAGTTCCTCAAATGTAAGGGAAGTACGCCCAAGTGATTTTTTCAAACATCTCTTTACGCTCCTAACCAATCGCTCCCAAAATCCGCCGTGCCACGGCGCCTTCTCCGTTATAAACGCCCATGTGACACCATTGTCTGTTAAGTAGCGTTGAACATTCGTAGCACGAGAAATGGTTCGTATTTCTTTAGCAGCGGCCTTGAAGGTCTTTGCATTATCAGACATAAGTTTTCTAGGCAACCCCCTTCGACTTGTGCTGACGATACCCTTATGCTGACGATACCCAAATTTGCTGCAGCTCTAACAGTTTGATTGAATTAACCGAAAACCTTAATCACGATCTGAGTAGAATCGGTGATTGGCTTTCTAGAAATAAATTACAACACCACCCAACTAAGACCAAAACAAGACGCTCTCTCGAGCGTTAAGTTGCTGGGGCTTTTTAAATAGGCGCCTGCGTGATTTGCAACGAGCGGTAAGAGTATATCCAACGATTTGTGGGCTTGATTTGTAATTGTACATAAGTTTATTAAATAGTGACACGTTGCGACATAATGTATACAGCAAATTTAATTAACTAAGGGACGGACCATTAGAAAAGTGATGGGGGAGGGGGGATTTTCTAAGAGGCAATATTTTTTTTTGTACACCTATAGAAATTTTTTTTCTCACTTGATGGCTGGAAATATATTTTTTTATTAAAATTTATAGGCCTATCTTCCAAGAAAGGAATTTTTTTTGCACTATGCCTGGGAAGATTTTTTCCCCTAATTTTTTCCTGGGAATAAATTTTTTTGGGTTCCCCCCCCCCCATCGGTTTTCTAATGGTCCGTCCCTAAGGTCGTCCTTTCAATGAAGTGGAATCTCACAATCAGGTCCGTTGCACAAGAGTTCATCATATCGCTGAACTGAAGAATTCCTACAGGTCATAAAAGAGATCCACTGAAGAATTCCTGTTAATACCCATGAAGAGAGACCCTGGAAGAATTTCAATTTTTACATTTGACCTCTGAGAAAATCTCATTCAAAATAGCCATTACCAGATTACCCCCAAAAAATTCCACACAGAAATTTGCTTATCCCTGAGGAATTCCAAAGCTAAAAATTTATCACCTCATTCCAGCAGAATTGAAAGCTGAAATAGCCCATTTTGTGCTGGCACTGTGGCACAAGTGTACATATTTGGGCCTTGGGCTATAACAACCCCTTATTCATATTTGAGGATAAATACAGATTTGTGTATTTTTATTTTAACTTGTTTATAACAAATTTTAAAACACAAAAATTGTTTATCAGACAGTTAAGGACTAAGGAGTCGTTTGTGAATTAACCCATTGATTGACAGCACTCTCTCCCTGATGAGTAAAATCCTTGGCATTAGACACAGTAAAATAATAAAGTAGGTTACATGAGGGTACATTGCCACTTAAAGGGTTATATGATATGGACAATCGCATATATTGGATTATTGGTGCGGAATTTAGCTTTTTGCACCTAACTGATGCATGCGATAGACAGTGGTTATATTTCACCTCAGGGCCGTAGCAACCAGGGGGGGGGGGGCTGTTTGAAATTGTAAATTTCGACATACTAAAATGCTGTTTTCTGACCATCGGAATTCTGTCAAATCTTCCCAAAGTTCAGGAAATGGCATTTCAGAGACTCTAAATTTAAAATTTTCCTTGGGCCTTTGGCCATTGCTTTCAGTTCCCCAATCAAAAAGAGCTTCCCACAGCACTGCACTCCCTGAGCTATTGGCATTAAAATTTTACATAACTTTATATTAGCAGTCAGTGGTGTAGAACTGAATCGCTAACAAAGAGGGCCCTCAAAGAGGGGGGGGGGAATGACAAGACGTGGGGTAACCAGGCATTGAGGGTGCAACATGGTAAATATGGATAGTTCCAGTATTCACTTTTGGTTCTAGCAATTCTTCAATTGGTGATTTTTAACTAAAGGGCTTAACATCAAATAATACACTCCAAAATATTGAAGCTATTACATGTTAGAGCCACATAAATATCATCAAATGGTTAGATCCTATAACCAGAATAATAATTGGACCTTATGTAATGTTAACATAATACAGCCAATGGCTGCAAGGTTTATCAATTAAAAACATCTATCTAAGAAATACCAATCCAAGATTGTGTGTCACGTACCTCGTGTGTCACTTCAAAACAGCCAACATTTGAGCCTTCTTGAAAATAGAGCTAGCATGCAAATATGACAGTTCCAATACATGTAAACAAATACGATTTTTATGCAGACTATTGGAGCAACCAAGACTATAAGCCATATTAAAGCGTATATAGATGTAAAACTTCACAAAACAAAAATATAAACGTTCAGAAATAACGGTTCGACGAATAAATAACACAGTTATTGTCAGTTAATCCACCTCGGAATCTACTCCACTCCTCGATAGTGAAACGTCGACAAAATTCTGTATATTCTTGATGGATTTCTTTCAAAAAGCCCCCAGAAGAAAAAGCGTGATTGAAAGAACAATTTGACGTTCACTTTATACACTTACGAAGACTTTAAGACCGTTAAAATAGCGAAAATGTATGCACGTATTGCTTCGTATATAGATCAGTGGGAATTTCCATTTTGCGACTATCCATGGAGAAGAAGAAGGAGAAGGAGACCAATTTCACCCGAAACCTATAGTTGCTGGCACAGGTGCCCCAGCAACTAATAATGTTCATTGGCTCTAAACATCATATTAATTCCACAACTTTTGATCATCCAGTGATGTTAAATAACCAACGCATCCCCAGAGTTCACTCTTTCACATGTCTTGGTCTCGATTTAGATGAAAATCTTAACTGGAATTCACATATTCAGGCGACTTGCAAAAAGGTTGGAGCAGGCCTGGGTACTTTGAGACGTATTAAACCCTTTGTTCCAATAACCACCCTTCAAACAATTTATCGAGCTCTGATTCAGCCGTATTTTGATTATTGTTCTCCCATTTGGGGCGTCTGTGATCAAAATTTGAAAAATAAACTCCAAAAATTTTAAAATCGCGCAGCCCGAATCATTGTCGGTGCAAGTTATGAGATTAGATCTGCTGATGTTCTTCAATCTCTTGCTTGGGACAATTTAGAGACAAGACGACGTACAACCAAAGCAATATTAATGTTTAAAGTCTTGAAGGATTACGTAGGACCTACGTTGAAAGAATCCTTGATAAGACGCAATCATATGCAAACAAATTATGATCTTAGAAATAGTCATACAGATTTGGCTCTTCCTAAGCCTAAAAGAGAATTCCTAAAAAAGAGTTTTAAATACAGTGGGGCTAAGCTATGGAATAGTCTCTCTATCGATACGAAACTGGCAGAATCAATGCACCTGTTCAAAAGCCATTTAAAACTTAACTCTAACACTATATATATTTGAAATAAATTGTAACTCCGTCTTTCCATAACATCTGGGGTCACACCAATTTGTAAATAGTCTTCTTTTCCCTTATATCTTTTGTAATTTTTAACATTGTAGACGCCCCCCGTGGAAACCAACGCACCGTTGACGGGGCTAGTGTCTTTAAATAAAGTTTTAATACAATACAATACAATACTTGTAAAACGACGAAATGCCTGCAGGAATAACTCGGCAGACATACTCTTGAGCAACTCCAAATGAACCGCACGAGTTGACGCACACGTAAACAAGCATATATATGTTTTCTCTGTTTTACCGTCTTCAGATGTTAACAAGGGACCCGCAAAGTCCAGTCCGGTATTCGCGAACGGTGGATCGTCACTTACACGACTCTGGGGGAGTGCTGGAGCTGGTGGTGTAGAAAATGATTTTCCCTCCATCTTCTTGCATACAACACATCGTTTGACAATTCTTTTTACACCTTCTCTTCCCCGGAGGACCCAATACTTCTCCCTAACACGATTAAGCGTTTCTCTTATCCCGTTATGGTGTACGTTTTTGTGAGCCTCTTGAATACAAAACTCCGTATAGCGATGTCTACACGGTAATAGAATGGGTGTCTTGACTTCGGTAGGTAAATCTGAGTTATCGAGTCGTCCTTGGCATCTGATCAACTCACGTTCATCAAGAAATAAGTTGAGTTGATTTATAAGCTGATTTTTCTCTTTCTTCGATTTCAAGAGCTTAAACTCCGTTTCAAACGCAGCCGATTGTATGCTCTTTAACCATAACATTTCTGCTTCTAACAACTCCTTTGCGTTGATTTTCACTGGCTCCGTCGTACGAGCTCTCTCTTCGAGTTTCAGGTGTTTCACGAATTTCAGAACTAATGCTGTTACTCGTAATAGTTTCGTTTTAGAGCTGTAACGGTTACAGTCTATAATCGCTTCGAAATTAACGTTGGACACATCGTCTTTCTCAATTGTTCGGGGGTGCAGAAGATGCTAGTGCATGGGTCTGTTTAACAGGATTCTTCACAACTTCGTCTTTAGTAAACTCTGTTTCCTTGCTTTCTGCCGTTTGCGGCCAATCAGCTTCGGGCTTGTAAAGAAATTCAGGGCCCTTCCACCATCGGATTTCGTTTGTTAGTTCCGATGCGTTTAGTCCACGAGATGGAAGATCAGCAGCGTTTTGCTTACCCGGACAATGTCGCCACAACTCTTGGTTGGTCAACTCACGAATTTCGTTTACTCGGCTCATCACGTACTGCTTCCATGGCTTGTTATTTTTTATCCAATACAAAACCGTCATTGAATCGATCCAATAAATTATCATCACATCTTGTGACAAGTTCAAGGCGTTCTTTACATTCGCAGCGAGTCGTACGAGAATGTTTGCACCGAGTAACTCGAGTCTTGGGATGCTTTGCTTCTGCAACGGAGCGACTCTCGTTTTTGCCGTCACTAAATTCACATCGATATGACCATCAGAGTAACTGGATCGAATATAAACAGCAGCAGCATACGCTGCCTTAGATGCATCACTGAAGCAATGCAGTTGTATTGTCTTCGATAGACCGTTATCTTGAAAGTAACATCGCGGTACATGAACATTGTTCAAACGCTCTAGCTCGGAGATTAAAGTGTTCCATAAATTTAAATGTTCGCCGATTAACTCAGAATCCCAATTGACATTTTCAATGCAAAGGATTTGGAACAGCACCTTCCAACGTATAATAAACGGACTTAGAAATCCAAGAGGGTCGAATATCTTGCCAATTACTTTCAATAACGATCTTTTCGTAGCGGGTAGGGCTTTCGCTTCCTCAGCAAGGTCGGTAAATTTGAACTCTAGCTCGTCAGACGATTTATTCCAAATAGTACCCAATACCTTAACGCTGCCATTGGTAACACCGATAGATTTACACGTTACTGATTCTGAATAAGATTGATCATCTTCGACAACATTGACACTCGAATGTTTTGGAGCAGTCTTCGTATGGATGTCCGTTTCCGGTAACTTTTCTTGAACACTGGAGGAATTCGTATTCCACTTTCGAAGGTTAAAGGCGCCCCGTTTCATAACTGTTTTGGCACTGTTCGTCAGGTCAAGCACTTCCTTTTCGTCATCGGCACCTGAAATAAAATCATCTACGTAGAACGAATTCTTTAGGATTTCGATCAGTTCAGGATTTACGTCTTTCTGCGTATCAAGATGATGGCGTATAGTTGATCCTAAGATTGCTGGAGACGGTCGTAATCCAAATACTAATCTCGTGAATCTCAACTGTAATATCTCTGAGTTCAAGTCTGCAGGGTCCTTCAACCATAAGAAGCGTAACATATCTCGATCGGATTCATTTACAGCGACCATTAAAAACGCCTTCTCTATGTCCGCGGTCAAACCAATCTTATGCCATCTGAACTTCATAAGAATATCGATTAGCTGCGGCGTGAAATTTGGTCCAACTTCCAAGCAATCGTTCATAGAATACGGCCTATCAATAGTCTTTGCGGAGCCATCGTATACAACACGTAACTTAGTTGTGTCGTGATCTGACCGAACAACAGCGTGATGTGGTAGGTAATGAATTCTGTTACTGTCCGAATCGAATTTCTCACTCTCGGTAATTTGCTCGATGATACCATTTTGTAACTGCTCACGGATAATTCCATCATACTCGGTTAGCAAGTCTGGCTGGCTGACTAACCTTCGCTGCAGTGACCTTAACCGCTTGACACACAAATCAAAATCACTGGGAAGTCGAGGCATCTCATCTTTCCATGGTAGATCAATTTCATACCTTTCGCCGTTAAATCGAACACTCTCGTTAAATGCTGATTCGCAACACCTTTCACTACTCTTAATCCCAATGGATTCGGTTTCCCAAAATTTCCTTAACGTGTTCACGATTGGATCTTCGGCTGTCTCGAACGGACCTTTGGAACTTCCAGAAATAATCAGATTTGTTGTGGTCTTCAATTCTCCTTTCTCCTTGGTAGTTGGCCCAGATAAAAGCCATCCAAATTTGCTACTAATTGCTACAGGACCCGACTGTCCTCGAATCATTTCACCTCCAACAATGTCCCAATAGTAGTCAGAACCGATTAGAACGTCTATGGGATCGCTTACATTAGATTTATCAGCCAGTTGTATTCCATTCAAGTGAGGGTGATTGTCGAGGTTAATGGTTGCAGATACTGGGGAACAAATTACTGGGAAATTGAGGGCCTCAATCGTCACCTGTTCATCGTTGCTTGCGCATAATTTCAGTTGTAGTAATTCACATTTCTGTCTTCGAAACCTTTTTTCGCCAAACGTGTTAAGGTGGAGAGTTTCGGATCTCTGCGACTTGAGACCCAATTTGGACTTGAGATGGTCACTGACATAAGACCGCTGACTCCCACTGTCAAATAGAATTTTGACAGGAATAGATGTTGATCCATCATAACTGATTGCAGATGCTGTTGCAGTTTGAAGCATGACACCGCCCTTCGTTTGATTACTTGCTGTTGTGGCAGATTGTGATTGAACTGTAGCAGTTGTTGATGGTTGTTGGTTCCCAGTTGAAGGTGTGTTTGCAGGATTGAATGGTTTAGAACCTGCATTTAGAGGGCCGCCAGGGGGTTGACTGCCAGGGGGTGGACTGCCAGGGTGTTGACCGGGGGGTTGACTGCCAGGGGGTGGACTGCCAGGGTGTTGACCAGGGGGTTGACATGACTGCAAGCAAATCGATTGATGATGTTTGCCCTGACATTTTCGACAAGATCTTTTTGGATCACACTGAGCGCTTATGTGCCCAAACATTAGGCAAACATAACATCTTCGATCCTTTCGCAATATTTCTGTTCGTGCATGTCTATCTCGAACCTTCTCACATGATGCTGAGAAATGATCACCATTACAATAAACACATCGAATTTTTCCCTTGTGGGAACCATTATTCACAAGTAGGGCAGATGCAGATGGGGGTCTGGACTGATACCTTGGTTTTTCATTCTGAATCACCTTAACACCTTCGCTCATTTCCCGGGCTTCCACTTCATTTCGGATTACGTCCAATATTTCTGAGATATCCCAGACCTCCTTGGATGTTTTTCTCGCGATTTGAAGCCGTATATCTTGGGGTAATTTTGACATTAATACCGGAATTAACAAACTACCATATTGACTTGCCTTGACACCAAGTGCTTCAAGTCCTCGAACATTTACACTTATTCGATCATAGACAAATCGCAACTGGGAAGCCTTATCACCAGCACATGCCGGAATTTTTAGGAGCTCGTCCATGTGAGTGGAGATGACAAGCTGTTGATTGCCAAATCTTTGCTGCAATATGTCAATGGCTGCTTGATAATTTTGCTCAGACAAAGTCAAACCTTGTATAGAACGCTTAGCTTGACCTTCTAGTAACGAATTCAAATGATTGAATTTGTCTATATTAGTGAGAAATTGGTTGGTATGCACAGCACTGTTGAAACTGTCCCAAAATGTTCTCCATTGCGTAATGTCGCCTTTAAACTTTGGTAGAACAAGTTTTGGCAATTTTGATTGATGTTGACGCAATGGCGTGACGGGATGATCAATGCTAACATTATTAATCAGGTTTGGATTTATTGCACCTACCTCTGTGGGCGCTGGCTGAGGTGCATCATTGGTTGGGCGTAAACTGGTACTTCCACTTGCTTCTATCTGTACTTCCGGAATCGTAGATTGTTCTGAACTCTGTTCTGGTACTGATAATACTTCGTTTCCACTATCGCTTGAATCTTCGATTGTATTTTTCTGCGGTGACTTCGTAGCCACACCGTTGAGTAATTCCTTTATTTCTCGTTGTACGTCTAAAATTCGCGAATTCAGTTCGTCTGCTTCTTCGATCTCGTTTGCAATATCACTAACCTCGCAACTATTTATAATTTTTTCGTCCAAATCTTTAACCAGTCTCGTTTTTTCGTTTAGCAAATCCGTTATAGTTGTTAATCTCCCTCGATTTGGTTGTTCGTCCTCGAAAATCGTTCGTGTTTCGTTGATAAGCTTCGTTATAACTGCTCGATTGCCTCCTCTAACGGCTCGAAATCTCGCTAAAATCGCCTTTTCTTCGCTCATTTTTTATTAAATACCTTGACGATATGCCCCACGTTGGGCGCCATGTAATAAATATCGAACTCTACGCAAAAACAAACTAAAATATAGCGGAAAATCTCAGGGTTTACTCGTACATAAAACTCGTATAAAAAATATAAACTACATAACTACATCACAAAAAACATGTGTTTGCGCAACTTGTTCTCAGGGAAGCCTGAGTTCTACCTTCAACTTAAGGTGTCTCTCACACGTTTTTAACAGTCTTCATAACAATATGTCACACATACTGTTAATTTATAGCATAGTAATATAACATCCGGTTACTTTCGCATGCGGGTAAGGCCTGAGTCAACTGCTAATTCGGGTACTCCGAAGGTAAAGAACGTTTGATTTTTATCACCAATAGTGAATGTGACATTTCACATCTTTCTAGAGCAGAATTTGCAGATATAATTGTCGACGCATGGGTACGAAGGAGCACTCAGTGGGTGGGAATTTCGGAGGCTAATGGAAAGGGCGGTATCATATAATATATATAGTCACTTCCACTTGGCTAAAAAATTGTCGGCAAGATCAAGTTGGCGAGCTATCGGAAAGCTCGAGAAGCGAAAATTCGGCATTTAATTGAACTCAGTCAGACAATCACAAAAATTACTATTCAGTGTATTCGTACGTGGTAAAGAATGACCCGGACGTCGTGATTTCTCCAGCGTTATAGACCTCCCTATAATGCTGACGAGTTAGCAAGTACTAGCCCGCGACCCGTCGAAGCAAGAAAGTTGCACAGGCTTCCAAAAATATGTAACGAAAGGAACTCGCTGTATACGGCGTTGTACGCATTATACAACACAAGGTTAGTGTTGTACGGTAATTATGCTAATAAGTGTTTCCGGTCCAGACGAATGCAATGAAACTAACATCGGTTGTCACTTCGATTGTCACTATAGAAATATGAAATTATAGGCAACTAGGCAGCTTTTAAATCAGAACAAGGCTAAGATATAATTTGTTGAGAATGTCTAACAATGTATTTGCTATTAATGAAAGGGTTTGAAATTGATTGAGCCAAGTTTTGGATCGATTGACACTTTTCGACATAAATAAATCTAATATATCATAGTGATATTTCTAGAGTTGAGTGTCAATCGATACATTTTATACAATTTATATACTTTGTGATTAAGTAGAACCAGTAATATATCAATATGCGCTTCCAAAACACTTCTGCTTAGTACTTAATATTCTGAAAATTATTATCCCGCGACAATTAAAAGTTATATCAATGAAAATGCTATGCGTTTCAAAGTGACAACCGAGTGACAATCGAGCACGTGTTAAAACATTTTATATTACATAAATATTTTCATGTCAAATATGCACAATCTTTAAGTGGTTTTCGATAACTTACCCTTGCATTTTATTCAACAATAACCTAGGTTGATAATTAACCAGATAGATGTGTTTTATCCCTTGCATATAGAGCAGGTTTAATCTCTCAGCATACGTCCCTCCCCACATATCACATCTTTTTATAAGCTCATTTATAATATGCTGTTCCGTCTGCTGGATTATGTTACATTTCAAATATAGTAACCACAATAAGCGCAGTATAAAAGCATTATATATGCCAGTGCAATTCAGTAAATATGTTCAACTAAATGCTATACGATTTTCGCAAAACTGATATTCTAAAACATTCGGTAATTCAAAGAGGTTAAATATGCTTTTCATTGCCTTTAAGACAATCAGTTTCAAAAGTCTTGGGACAGATGCCACAAAAACTTTGAATATCAACAAACTACAATCCCACCCGCCCCCTGTTCAATGTTGTGTCCCATTTCTCGTCGGGTTTGATGTGTTTTGGTTTAAACAACATTGATTGGGGTGGAGGGAGGGGGAGGGGAGCGGTACTATGTGTAAAAAACTATAATGATCCACTTACAAGCCAAAACTACATGTGTCCCAACAACTTCTGAAAGTGATTGTCTGGGCCCCATATGCCGTAACAACATTGTACATCTCAAAAGTACAGGGAATAGAATGCTCTGCGAACGAACTATTTCAGCTCCATTTCGTTCACAGAACATCTAATGACATTATAGAACAATTAAGTTTCATTAAAATTCTCAAAGTTAATAATTAACAGAATATGAATACAATTTGTTATATCATAATGCATTCTTAATCACAACGGATTTATACGTTGTTTGCTTCTACAAATTTTGGCAGAGCACTAGTAGATTATTTGAGAGGTAATAGTCTGTCAATAAAGATAGGTATCGCAAATGTTTTACGCTAGATATGTCACACATACTGTTAATTTATAGCATAGTAATATAACATCCGGTTACTTTCGCATGCGGGTAAGGGCTGAGTCAACTGCTAATTCGGGTACTCCGAAGGTAAAGACGTTTGATTTTTATCACCAATAGTGAATGTGACATTTCACATCTTTCTAGAGCAGAATTTGCAGATATAATTGTCGACGCATGGGTACGAAGGAGCACTCAGTGGGTGGGAATTTCGGAGGCTAATGGAAAGGGCGGTATCATATAGTATATATAGTCACTTCCACATGGCTAAAAAATTGTCCGCAAGATCAAGTTGGCGAGCTATCGGAAAGCTCGAGAAGAGAAAATTCGGCATTTAATTGAACTCAGTCAGACAATCCCAAAAATTACTATTCAGCGTATTCGTACGTGGTAATTAGAATGACCCGGACTTCGTGATTTCTCCAGGGTTATAGACCTCCCTATAATGCTGACGAGTTAGAAAGCACTATCCCGTGACACGTCGAAGCAAGAAAGTTGCACAGGCTTCCAAAAATATGTAACGAAAGGGACTCGCTGTATACGGCGTTGTACGCATTATACAACACAAAGTTAGTGTTATACGCTAATTATGCTAATAAGTGTTTCCGGTCCAGAGGAATGCAATGAAACTAACATCGGTTGTCACTTCGATTGTCACTATAGAAATATGAAATAATAGGCAACTAGGCAGCTTTTAAATCAGAACAAGGCTAAGAATAATTTGTTGAGAATGCCTAACAATGTATTTGCTATTAATGAAAGGGTTTGAAATTGATTGAGCCAAGTTTTGGATCGATTGACACTTTTCGACATAAATAAATCTGATATATCATAGTGATATTTCTAGAGTTGAGTGTCAATCGATACATTTTATACAATTTATATACTTTGTGATTAAGTAGAACCAGTAATATATCAATATGCGCTTCCAAAACACTTCTGCTTAGTACTTAATATTCTGAAAATTATTATCCCGCGACAATTAAAAGTTATATGAATGAAAATGCTATGTGTTTCAAAGTGACAACCGAGTGACAATCGAGCACGTGTTAAAACATTTTATATTACATAAATATTTTCATGTCAAATACGCACAATCTTTAAGTGGTTTTCGATAACTTACCCTTGCATTTTATTCAACAATAACCTAGGTTGATAATTAACCAGATAGATGTGTTTTATCCCTTGCATATAGAGCAGGTTTAATCTCTCAGCATACGTCCCTCCCCACATATCACATCTTTTTATAAGCTCATTTATAATATGCTGTTCTGTCTGCTGGATTATGTTACATTTCAAATATAGTAACCACAATAAGCGCAATATAAAAGCATTATATATGCCAGTGCAATTCAGTAAATATGTTCAACTAAATGCTATACGATTTTCGCAAAACTGATATTCTAAAACATTCGGTAATTCAAAGAGGTTAAATATGCTTTTCATTGCCAATCAGTTTCAAAAGTCTTGGGACAGATGCCACAAAAACTTTGAATATCAACAAACTACAATCCCACCCGCCCCCGTTCAATGTTGTGTCCCATTTCTCGTCGGGTTTGATGTGTTTTGGTTTAAACAACATTGATTGGGGTGGAGGGAGGGGGAGGGAGCGGTACTATGTGTAAAAAACTATAATGATCCACTTACAAGCCAAAACTACATGTGTCCCAACAACTTCTGAAAGTGATTGTCTGGGCCCCATATGCCGTAACAACATTGTACATCTCAAAAGTACAGGGAATAGAATGCTCTGCGAACGAAGTATTTCAGCTCCATTTCGTTCACAGAACATCTAATGACATTATAGAACAATTAAGTTTCATTAAAATTCTCAAAGTTAATAATTAACAGAATATGAATACAATTTGTTATATCATAATGCATTCTTAATCACAACGGATTTATACGTTGTTTGCTTCTACAAATTTTGGCAGAGCACTAGTAGATTATTTGAGAGGTAATAGTCTGTCAATAAAGATAGGTATCGCAAATGTTTTACGCTAGATATGTCACACATACTGTTAATTTATAGCATAGTAATATAACATCCGGTTACTTTCGCATGCGGGTAAGGCCTGAGTCAACTGCTAATTCGGGTACTCCGAAGGTAAAGAACGTTTGATTTTTATCACCAATAGTGAATGTGACATTTCACATCTTTCTAGAGCAGAATTTGCAGATATACTTGTCGACGCATGGGTACGAAGGAGCACTCAGTGGGTGGGAATTTCGGAGGCTAATGGAAAGGGCGGTATCATATATTATATATAGTCACTTCCACATGGCTAAAAAATTGTCCGCAAGATCAAGTTGGCGAGCTATCGGAAAGCTCGAGAA